TTTGAATGCGTACATAGGGAGGGGTGTTAAAATCAGCGGTTATGTACCCGGTTTGACTTTCTCGTTTTCTATCTCTCTGCTAAAACCTCTTTTTTATTAGGGTGAATCTATTCGCACTCACGCGTGAATGGACTAAATCTTATTATAGTCTATTCACACGCTTAAAAAAAAAATTCAATAAAGATTTTTTTTTATGAAATTTCTCACAAACAAAAGATGTTTATAACTTAAGTCATATATTTTGAAAGCAATTTAATTTTTTTAATCAATTAAAGTAAAAATAAATAAAATTACTTCACATAATTAAATTTTTATTTAAAAAACAAACAAAAACGTGCCAATAGATAAAATAAACATTAAGAAATACTTATTTTATCAATTAAAAGATTGCCTGCCCAAGCCAAAAGCCTCTTCATTATATTTATACTACAGTGTACCTATCCCTAGATAAGCAGTCAATATGTATATACACGATGGTACACATATCCTTCAAAAGTCAGTCACGTGAAAAACGTGCGAATAGACACTCCGTTTTTATTAACAAAAGCATGGAACTTTACGAGTTTAAAAAATCAATTTCATGATATACATATTATGAAATGTCAAGTTAACTGAATTTTGTTTTACATACTTTGAAAAATCTTATTAGGGGGGAGTTCATTTAAAGCATACTATGCGTACAATGGGGAAGGAGTCCTAAACTATTGTTTTTACTGTGTACGTACTTTGTGAAAGCCCCCATAACAAAAAAAAGCTTTTTAAAGACGCAAAAGAATTGAAAATAAATGGCAAGTATGGTTAAATATTTTTTTACAACAAATTATTCATGCGCTAAGAGTAAAAATGATTTAATAAGTAATGTATATTTTACAAATTACAACCAACAAAAATGGATTCAAGTTAAATCAAAAACTTGAATCAACTTATTTCAACTTTTTTCAAACTGATGATTCTTTAATTGATGATCTAAACTACTTTAATTCGATTTTAAATTACTCTACTCGATTTATAACTCAAAGATCTAAATTACTTTAAATCGATTGCTTTGAATATCACTTCAAAAGTAACATTTAAATGTTTTATAATGTTTATTTGAAATCGGCTTCATTCTCCTGATTAATAAACAACTAAGAATCACTCAACCTTTTATAGATAATTTAATAAGCAATAAAATATTTAATGAAACTCTTCAAAAGGGCGTAAATAAAAACGACATCTCAGATCATTTTCCGACCTTCTTCTCCATTAATCCATTAATACAAAAGTATTTCCATATAAAAACCGGGTTTTTATTAGAAAGTATTTAAAATCGTTTAAGAAATCGTTTAACATCGTTTAAGAAATAATCTCCTTTACATCGGGAATAAACTAATATTCTAGATGATGTAAACTTAGTAAACACTTTTTAAAAACATTCTTACTTTTTAAAAAGTGTCTTTGTAGCTCTTCATCATAGATTTATTTTTATTTTTATTTTTTTTTATTTGTTTTTTTTTTTTTTTTATTTGTTTGTTTTTTTCATCATTGAATAAGAGCAAAAAAATCTTAAACCAAAAATTAAAAAAAAAAAATCACCATGGGTTACCAAGGAACTAAAAATCACACAAAAATTGTATATTAAATATTTAAAATTAAAATCAGTGGAAAGTAAAATCATTTATAAAAGTTAAATTCTTTGAGCGACAAAAAAAATGTCAAATATAAATACTAGACGATAAATATATAAACTATAACTTAATATACGCCCCATCAAATTTTTTAATATCAAAAATTTGGGGGATAAAATATTTATGAGTATTGGAAGCAAAACAAGAAAGTATCCTAAATAAGCACACATTAACTTAACTATATCATTCATATATTGATTGTCACTTGAAATATGTAAATGTTGCATTTCCACAAGAGCTTTTACCGAAAAATTACCGGTAAAGCGGTAAAATTATTTTTATGATTTGCCGGTAAAATTGTTGGTAAATTTCGTTTAATAGTTTTTACTATACTTTACAATAAATTAAACATATCATTTGAAATCCATAATTATGAAATTATTTTTCTTTTCTTTTTACCTTCGTAAATATTATTTTAGTGTAAAAATAGATTTACAAGCACATTCAATAAAGTTTTTCTTACCTTTAAAAATTTCATTACAATTTGTTTATTACCGTCAGAAACATCCATACCATTCCTATAGGAATGATATTTGCTTTAATAAAAGAATTTTATACCTAAACACTTTTCAATTACACTGGATGATTGCATTAATACCTGAACTTGACTCAATTTTCTGGACCTCATCCGGCTGCAGAAACTGTCACAGAAATTTTGTACAATTGTCACTTTTTGTACAATTATACAAAAAGTAGCCAAATTCGGTTGAAACATTGGCGACAGAATTGTCTATCGGGTGGATACGGAAAAATCTGTTTAACTTTAAATTGAGATAAAAACCATAAATGCTACATTAGTGAAATCTCAATTTAAAGTTAACCGGATTTTTCCGTGTCCACCCGATACTCAGTTACGGGTGGAACTTCCATAATGGATAAGTTTGAAAAACTATTTCCAACTCGGAACATCAAAGTATTAAACATGTTGCATCCATGGAATCCAGCAAGTTACATAGTCAGCAAGTATTTCAGCAGTTACGAATCTGAATCTGACACCAAACTTTTTCAGTTTTTTTTGGCAATGCCGTAATTGTAAACATTCCAAAAGTGAAAATGCACTTCCGATCTACCATTGCAAGAGTTAAAAAAACTGTCAAGTATTTTTGAAAATTTTCAGTCAAAAATGACTTCCTCCAAAAAGAAATCAAGAAACAGCACAGAAAAGAGGTTTTGCTTATCTTTGACTACAGAACAAGATGAAACAGTTTACTGTTGATGATTTAACATCTTGTCAAATTAAAGGTTCAATCAGAAAAATATTAAAAGAGTTTCTCAATATTTTGTTTGCAGTGATGATGAAGTAAACATTTTATCCGACATTGTTACTGCTAATGAACCAGTCATTTGAGATGTTTGAAAGAGAGAAGGCAGAGCAATCTTATTATTATGTCGGATGTTTATGAACGCCATCAAAGTTTATACTTCAAAAGACTGCAAAAAATTTTCTATATATCTATTTGCTTTTTCTCGACGAATCCAGGTGACTTAGAATTCATTTGAGAAATGTTTGACTCAAAAAATCCACTTTCACTTAAAAAACTTGAGCTATAAAGTCTGAACAGATTTTAAGCAAAGTTTAGATATACATCTGGGAAGGCTGCTAGTTCAAAAAACTATCTATCCCTCCAAAAGAACAAAAGTGTCTTTGAAGCATACTTCAACACCAGTAACGGTAACAGCAATAACATCAACTTCCAAATCCGAGTCTGAGGCAAAATATCAAGAGTCTGAAGATTCAGAAGAACAGTCCGTAAGTACCAGCAAACTAGTTCATTAGAACTACAGCAAAAACCATAACTGCAATCAAATTAGAATAATTTTTAAAGTTATCAACCAGCAAAGTATCAACCATTTGATGACAGTTATCTTAAGATATGATCAACATTTAGACGTCTTCACAGTCTGGTATAATAAAATCAACTATTAAAGAAGCTGTTAAATTTAAAAAAGAAATGAAGAAAACACTACATTTTGAAAGTTAGTCAGTTGGATGGCAAATGTCTTCAAGAATATTAAGTTTTTCTTCTTTCTTTATATTTGTATAAAGTAAATCTTAGAGAATTGAATCAATCCTCGCTAGAAAACGTGCTATGACCAAGTACTAATTTGAGAATTTTTGTTTCAAAGAAAATGACTCGATCAAGATAATAATATAATAACTCGATAACTATTTCGTACAATATATGTTTGAATTGGCATGAGATTCATCAAGCAATGTTTTAAAAAAATCATTCATTAATTTTTTTTTTAAATTTTACTAAGAAACTTTGTAAAAATACCATGCAAAATTTCTTAGCCGGTTTTTTTTTTTTTTTTTAAATTATAAACAACAACAAACAAGAAACTTATATTAAAATAACTAGAATAATTCTAAAATTTAATAAAGTTGTTAAATTACTTTAATGATGCAACCCATCATAAATCTTTTAATGTTTGAATTACGTCATATAAAAAACAGTTTAATTTTTTTACTCACCCAACTTTACAATTACCAACATACGCATCTAATACTATTATTTTCTTACTATTTATTTAATTATGAACTTGAAAACATCATTTGGATTAAAATCTATTTTTAAACAGCTTATTTATAATTTGGACTTCAGGAGAACATGAGATAATATATAATTACTAATTTAATAAATTATAAAAACTGTCATTATAATATTTATTGTATTAATCATAGTGAAAAGTTTTTTTTATTAGAACCTCAACTCGCGCTGACTTGACGGATATAATATTTACGTCTAATAGATTATATGACTATAATAAAAGTCTTCAAACCACTGATCTCTGTAATATAGTTAGAGATTAGTGTTCTAATGACTTATTCGACGGATATAACCTTGACGTCTAATAGATTATATGACTCTAATATATGACTTTAAATGACTTATTCGACGGATATAACCTTTACATCTAATAGATTATATGACTGTAATAAATGACTTTAGATTTTATAATTTTTTAGCTGTAGAAATCAAATTCATTTCGAAATTATTTGTTAAATATTATATATTAAAATAAAGCCTATTATACCTAAAGAACAGCACATGGTCAAGGATTTAATATAAAAATAGCAGACAGTAAATCTATTCTTATATTTTAAGATTTAAATATGGTTACGATTAAAAATTTTTAGGTTAACTTTCCGAAAGAAACTTTGATTTCATTATAATTATTATGTGGAACTATGAGGAACCATGCAGCGCAAATCGCGAGATTATAAAACTCAACTCAATTTATTTTGTTAAAAGTTTCGCAAGCTTTACATCATGATTTAACTTTTAACATTTATTAAATCGTTAGCAAATAATCTTTTTAGTTGGTAAATAATCATCGTCGTTAATAAACATTCTTTGTTCTAGTTGACATTATTTCTATTTTTAATCATTAAACGATATTTATGTTTGTCAATAACCTTGGTATCTAATCAAAACACGATATTGTTCGCAAGGAAAACAATTAGTTAACTCCTTTCTCATTTTTAATAAAAGCCAAAACTATAAGTAATATTTCAATTATAAGTTTCAAACTGACGTTCTAAAGTTCAACACTTAAGAAAAAAATATATATATTTATATATATACACAAAAATGCCAAAGTGTCCTAAATGTACGAAAGAAGTTTATTTTGGTGAGTTAAAGATAATATAATTTTTGCAATAGTAATTAAAAATTCAAAGTTTTATAAAACTAAAAAAAAAAGTAAATTTACTAAAAACAGATTGAGAAATATAAATTTTGAGAGAATTAAAAGAAAACAAATTTTACACTTTTATCTGTTAATTTTACTTTGACATTTTTTTAAAACTATTTTATTTAGAAGTAATAAAAAATCTCTTATTTTATTTTATTCCATACCTCATTTTAGTAAAAAAAGCTATTTTGTACTTATTATATTATTTAACTTTAGCTGAGAAAGTCACATCGTTAGGTAAAGATTGGCATCGTGCTTGTTTAAGATGTACAAAATGTAATAAAACTCTTACCTGTGGTAGCCATGCTGAAGTATGTGATTTTTAAAAAATATTTATTGATTTTCAACTTCAGTCATTAAACTGTTTATTGTTTGATTTTACTTTATTGAAATTTTATTTATTGACATAATTCTGTGGAGAAAAAAATAAATTGCATTAAAAGAGATGATCTTTGATTTGTTTCTTTAGCGCGATGGATCGCCATACTGCCACAATCCTTGTTATAGTGCATTATTTGGTCCCGGTGGATTTGGCCGTGGTGGAGCGGAATCACATAAATATTGATGTTACAAAACAGTTTATATTGTTGCTACTATCATTGTAAATAAAAAAATGCAACCATAATATTTAAACAAAGTATTAGAAAAGTAGTACTAGAAAATATAAAGAACTTTAGTTATAACAGAGTTTTATATTTAGCCCCAACATAACAAACACTTTTATAAAATAAACGAAGGAAATGAAATAATCCTTTGAACTGCATTTTTTATACTGTATAATTTTTCTAGTAAACTTAACTAACATTCTTGACTGTACATTAGGGGGTACCATGTTGAGTGCGTACCAGTTTGATGAACTTTTAAAGAAATTTTCGGATAATATTATGGACCCGTTTAGTATTCAAGGGTCAGTTAGGACCCCTAAATAGTTTTTTCTATTCCAAAATATTTTAAAGCCAGTGTTATTTTATTATACAGATAAATAAAAGTTATCCCCCCCCTCACTCTACTATTCATACACACACACACACACACACACACACACACACACACACACACACATACACACACACATGATGTGAACCTGATTGAATTTTGACGATTTACATTATTTTGACGATTTTGAAAATTTGTTTTTTATAGCATTATTTAAAAGAGTAATGGTAAAAAATAAACAAAAAATGTTTAAAATTTTTTTTCCCAATTAACATCAGATTCAAAAAATTTTTTTTGATTTTGCAAGCAATGCGTTTTAGTTTTCATTTTCTGTCCTTCAGAGATTACTTGCTTTCAGACGCCTGACTCGGAACCAACACATTATGACCCTGTTCAGGAATGGTTGCAAGAACATGTACTTTATGTGTAGAAATATTGTTTTTCAATACTAGTAAACTAGCTGCTTTAGTGCTTGCTCTTTGGTATTTCAGTTTCCATTTAGGAGAAGATGACAAAGAAGAAAAGTTTGGCGACTCGGGTGAAAAAACAGATGTTTCAGAATCCGAAGATTCTGTTTGTGAAGGTTAGACAGAGAATTCTGTTTGTGAAGCTTGGATTTGGACAGAGGCTTGAGGTTTAGCTTTTGATAGTTGGATTCATTTTCTTGGATGGATAGATTCCAAAGAGGTTTGTTTCACTATCAATGACCAATCTTTCCTCCACATTTAATTTGCCTCTGGTAGCCCAGTAAACACAAAAACGTCTATTAAAAGTTTCGACAAAACGTTCAGATTTATCGATTATCCATTTAGAATGAAATCCAGGTTGACGTTTTGAACAAACAATAATTTCTAAAACATCGGAGTCCATTGATTTGTTGGCATTTAGGAAGGTTGATTATTGCGATAAGAGCTTTTTATCTTCGATGAATTAAAATAGCGCACCCGCCACTCGTTTATTGTTTATTTATCAGCCGTTTTGCTTTCAGCTGTTGTAAGGAAGTGAATCTTGAAAACGCATTTAAGTTTAATTTAATTCTTTTGCCTATAAAAAATGATTTTTTAATCAGTTTTTTATTTCGTTTTAATTATGCCTATTTAATTTTAAACCGCGTGACTTGAGCGTCTTCTATATTACTATATTATAATATAATAAACGTTTATTAAACGTTGATCAAACGTTTAGAATAACGACTAAT